TGTTTTTTTGAGTTTTGCATAAATTTTCGTCCTTTTCGTCCTGTTTGCTTTGGCCTGGTTTTGCGCACGGGCTTATTCCCACCAGCTTGTGTGCTCTTCCGTCTCCTTTAGAGTCCAGCGCTCGTCGGCGCTTTGTACGAGCATTTTTCGGCACTCATTAAAATAGGTAAACAAAATCGCATAAAATTTCCTGATAGACAACAGATAAGAGTTAAAACTTTGGGCAAACTCCAACCGGCCGGCCGGACGGCTTTTGTTGGCCAGTTTGGTTTGGCAAATGAAGTGTTATTCCCAACGAGAGTGAACCGCTCGAAACGTTCTCCTCGAGCTTATTGGGAGTTAACTGTTCGAGTGCCTCAATTACAGGTTAACTTCAGACTCGATAAGGGTTAAGTGCTGCCATTAAGCTACTTTTTGTTTATTTTCAGCTTAACAACTTTTTCACTTCGAATTCTTAATCATTTGAATTTATTTAAAGCTATTTATTAAAGCTGGTCAAGACAAGAAATATGAAAAAAGTGAACGCTTTTCATTTACTTTATAACAAAACAGCAATTTCATCAATAAATTGTTATTCTATAGCAAGAATTTTTATTGAATTTTTTTTGGCCAAACTAAATTCATACCAATTTCTGAAAATAACTACTCTCCTGGACTATATAAACGCAGTAAACTCACTAACGTTTTAGATGCTAGACCATCAACTAAAATGAAATTCCCCGAGTTTACCCGAATGGAATTTGTTAGACTAAATTTATAGGTGAAGAGAGTACCAAGTACCAGCCACATTCCTCCACTGACCCTTCCTCTCACAAAAAAAAACTCTGCCATGTAAGCCAGGATTTTACGAGGCAACCCAATAATTTGGTCTGCGATATGCAACGTCTTTGCCCCAACTCCCATCACTTTACCTCCGAGACTTTAAAGCTTTCAATGGGAAATCCTAAATCAGCCTTACGGCCATAAAACTTCCATTCTTCGTTCGGAGTAACCTTTTTTTTTGTGTGCTCTTGCTTTTGGCAATGCAAGCTTACTAGGTCAACACAAATCAGCATAAGCTACACAACTCCACATCGGACAATAACATTTTTATGTGTTAAGCTTTATGACAAAAGGCCAACAAGAAACAAGAAGGCGAGCGAGTGCACAGGGAAATACTAGTACGTTGAAGTTGCTGCTGCAAGTTGGCATAGAAAGTTTTCCGATTTGTTTTGGCCATAATAAATTTGGACAGCTGTAAGCAAGCAACAAATGGGGAATAAGCAAAACAAACGGCGTCGGTCACTGCAATAGTTCAAAGTAAAAGTCAAGGACCATGGGAATCGTTTCGGTTTTGATTACGTAATGTTGTTTCTCTTGTTGTTGTTGTGTTTTGCGTAACAGCGGAGGATCAATCTTTTTTTTGCTCAACACAGCTGCTCCACATGTTCCTCCCTGGCTGCGAGTGGCTCTGTCAAAAATGTTGAGCTTGTGTAAACAAGCAAACAGGCAAGTGGGCGTTGAGTTGTTTCTGCTAAGCAAGCTGCCACCCACTCACATTTAACCCATTGCATATCAAAGGTTTAAGAGAAAACAAATTTAAAAATTTAAAAACAAAATTCAAATAAAAACTAAGACTATATTTTATAAGTATTGTCTTGCTAATAAATGAAAGAGTTTTCTTAGAGTTAAGCACTGGTATTTTTTGTTTATCCTTTCTTCTTCATAAAAATTCAATATTAAAATTGCTAAAAATAAAAATAAATCCTTTTCTGTTCCTTTGGGTTAATTCCATTTTATCTCATCTGAACTCAACCATCTCGTGCGTATTTTCAGCCTGCACTTGTTTGCCTTCCTTGCCTTGTTTTTATTTAGCTGTTGGAGCATCTGTTGCCCGACTTCTGTTTTCCCTGTTAGCTCAGTCGGCTGTAAGCTGTGTGTTTGCCTCTGTCCCTGCCAAGCAAAATAATTTTAAATGTAATTTTCTGATGCGCCTACCACACGGATATGCAATCCGAATCCTCTGGCCCTCTTCAGTCTGGAGTGTTACTTTTGGCAAATGTCAGAGTGCCTCTACACACACTCCAAATCAACGTTGTCTGTTGGGTTTTATTTTTTTTCTCGTTCAGCCGTCTACATCCTCCAATGAGTGCACATCTCCTGTTGGCAAGGACATGCATAAATATTATAAAACGTGCTCTGCCGCAGATAGGTGAGTGCAGACCCCAAACTGTCTGGCCAAAAAGCTTACCCCTGGCTTTTATAAATAAGCCCACTTGCTGATTGTCTGCCCCCTGTCTTTTGGGCCTATCTCAGCTTCGTCCCAGGCTCCTGAATCTCCGTAAGGAGCTTTTATGCCTGGACTAACTGGCTTCAAACGCTCTTGCTTAAAAATATGCCATAAATTTCTGCATAATAATTCTTCGGCCACATATTTGCCTCTTTTGAGCCAATGGAATTTTTCTTTTGTTAAAGAAAAACTATATTTATAATAAAATGCCTTTAGACTGTTGTATTTGAAATTCAATATGATTTTCATATTTTTAAAAATATTTATCTAAAATATTTTAAATTTATTCAGTATCATTGCCTTAAAGAATTTTCCATTGTTCAACATAAGTCTCTGCATCTTTGTTTATGTTTGGGTTGTGGTATTTGCCTACAAATATGATTGGGCGATCTAATAAATTGAAATCGAATCCGAAAATATTTCAATAAGCTGCAGAGAACATGAAATCCTTGGACCCCCTGGTCGGTTGTGAACAAACAAAATAGCAAGCAATCATAAGGCTTGGCTCAAAGGCAATTAATTGCCAGTTAAATGCAATTAAGTGCAGCAAGCGGAAAGATTTCATGAATTTATTTACGCCCACAGCAGCATGAGATGCCCATTTTAATCGAGAACAAGGCGAAAAACATTAAAGATTACCAAGCAGGTATTATTAATTAAAGTTGTTTCCCGTTTGCATAAGCCGGGATTTGTCATATGCACATCAGACTTAATTAACTTGAATATTTATACGCACTTTTCGTGGTCGTGATTGGATGATGGTTGTAGGTTGCAGGTTATAGGTTGTAGGTGGTAAAGTGGCAAAATGGCAGTGCCAAAGTGGCCAACTGGTTAACTGGCAAGCTGGCAAATTGGTAAGCGCGCTCCGTGCAGTAATCGCGATAAGAGTAGGAAATGTGGAGCGACTGCGAAATGTATTTACGAAAGTCCACAAACAATGTGTAAAAACACGCGCCTCGTATGTACTCTCTCGATGGGGGATTTAAAATTTTAATAAAGTCATATACACGCACACCCGGCACAATGTTGTTTCTGTTGCTGTTGATCTTGATGTTGATGTTGATGGCCAAGAAGATGCCCACCCAGTAAGTGTGCGGGGCCCAGGCGAAAGAATCGAGGGCAACGTCGGCTCAGTCGGACTTATCCGGGAGCAAGACTGTGGCCGAAATTCAAGCGAGTACATTAATTTTTAACATCTATTTAACATTTCAATCAACGGTCGAGCACTTTTATCGCACAACCGCTGCATTCGCCAGCGCGTATTCGACTCGCATGCAAAAATTTAATTAATATTTAATTTTTCATTTATTGTATTTCTGTGTTTTGCCTGCAATTTTCATGACGCATCGCGGCCCGCTAATAAAATTAAACGGCCCCAAAAAACACTCACACAGACACACTATACCGGCGCGATATGGCATACAAGCACCCACAAGCACACTCTAGAAATCTGACAGTGTCAGAGTTGTGCCTTATTTTCCTTATTTATTTTTTTTTTTCCTTGGTTGTGTGTTCCACGCGCCGCGTTTTGCTTCTCCAGCGGATTTTTCGCGTATCCTTGAGCAGACCGTTGCGCCACGTTCCGACACGAATCCGAAACTGAGCCACGGCATTGGCAAAAACGTTCCCGAGCACCAAAATGTCCTTTGGCCCGCTCGGTCGATGCCAGCTCGGGGATTTTTTCGCTCGTGCCAGGCCCATCGTCCTTAGCTCGTTTCCACTCAATCCCGAATGAAAGTAAAAATTTAACCGAGCCAGGGAGCGTTTCGGCAGTTTGAGTTTGTTTTGGTTTAAATTGCAATGACTTGATGGCGCTTGAGATGAAGAACTGCTGAAGTGGGCCTATCCCAAGCTTTTTTTTATTCAGGTCATAACGAAGGATGCAACACATTTGTTCGCCGCATTAATTAAATATCTAAGTAACCCTTTATTCTCATAAAGTCATAAATTCTCATAAAGAAGAAACCATTCTACAAACACCTTTTACTATTCTATTTCTTTCTTACTAGTTAAATGTCTTTTAACATTTAAATCCTCTTTGCCAGCAAACATGAAGGTTTTCTCCTTAATATCAAGCCCAAAGCTTCTCTCATTATTTTAATAATCTAGATTGTAGATAATAACCAAAGGCAACTACTTAACAAGCACTATAATACCTTTTACTATTCTATTTCTTTCTTACTAGTTAAATGTCTTTTAACATTTAAATCCTCTTTGCCAGCAAACATGAAGGTTTTCTCCTTAATATCAAGCCCAAAGCTTCTCTCATTATTTTAATAATCTAGATTGTAGATAATAACCAAAGGCAACTACTTAACAAGCACTATAATCCTCTTATAGAAAAATAATGCCAGTTGAGACCCTTAAGTTAAAAAATGTTAGCACAGCTTCAGCAAGTCAGGTTAATAAGAGAAAATGTCCTTTCCCATTTGAAAGTCCCTCAAAACTCTTCAAAATCAACGCAAGCGCATTTTCCGACTTCCAGTCAGCCAGACTGGGAAATATAAGAGTTTATTTTTTCGAGGGAGGTTTTCTCTTTATTCAGCTTTATTCACAACTAACTTAATTTAATTCTAAGGCATTTTTTTGTAAAACCATTAAATATTAGATAAGCTAAGTCAGATAAGATAAGTCTTTTGCTTTATGATCATAAAATAATCTGAAATTAAATAAAAATCTTTTTATTAAGAAAAAAATTCCATTTTGATATTTTACCTGCCCAAATTAAAAATTTGACCTTAGTTACATCTTCATTATTTTCCAAATCTGAAAAATATATGACAAATTTTTGAATAAATTAAATAATTAGGTATCTACAACATTTAACAAATTAAAAATGGTTTTAATAATTGAATAGGTCTAGTTCTACATTAGGAGATTAAATCATTAATCATTCAATTAGCCATTATGCATATTTAATAATGATATTCAATTTAGAATTAATTACCCTATCATGTTGGGTTGGCAATGGAGGACGAGCTACTCCGGGCCTATTGGGCTTGATGGTGACCAGTGGCTTGGTACCTGGCTTTGCAGATGGCTTTGAAGATGACTTTGCCGATGGCCTCGGTGTATTTTCGGGCATTTTGTATTAGCAATAGAATCCTTTTGACAAATTTTTTTTAAAAGAATTTTTTTTCGAAGGATCCGAAAATTATTTGGCGTACACTAAACGAATTTAAAGTGGTCGCCCACTAGGTTAAGAAGAAATTTATTCAAATTCACATGACGAGTGTCAGAAGTGTAAAGAATATTTGTCTGTCATCGAGTCTGACTTCCAGACAGAGGCCAAAGGCCAGTCAGTCATTTGTCAGTCGTCCTGGCAACTCTCACATCTGGCTGCCGTGTGCCTATTCATAAATATATACACTTTTGTATGTTTGAGGTAATATATCATAAATGTCAGCGCCTGAAATTATGTACGTATAAAGCACAAAGCCATATAAATGAGTCTACTTTAAGACGCACTATATTTGTGTACTTTTCCGCGAAAAGTGTGGCACTCGCGAGAAATATGTCCGCGTCCATAGATGGCTGTTTATGGCTCTTATTTTTTATAAATTAATTTGCATAAATTATGGCATATGAGGGAGTCCAACTCGAGGCTAGGCCAAGCGCTGCTATTTATCAAAGGCAGCACACCGCACCGCAAATGCCTCTAAATGTCTGGCTCAAAGCAACAATCACTCACTCATTCATTCCATCATTCGCCGCGGCGGTGTCCCGGCCCCCTCACTACATTCCGCCACTCGCAATTTGCATTTTTCGCACGGGCATTGTCCGCCCAGTAAACGGTACTTCAGTCACCCCTTGGGGAGGGTGGCCTTCCTTATTTGGGGTGGCGGCAGCAACAATGTTGATTGTCTGCTAAAGAGCATAAAGTCGTATGGGAGTGAAGGCAGATAAACATAAAAATAGCATAGAATTGTGGGCACACAAAGGCGAAGACGATTCAGACTACAGAAAGTACAGAAAGCCAAACTCGCCAGAATGGAAAATGCACGCGTACACTCAAATGTTATGGCCAATCACTTTATTTCACTTGTTTTCAATTTTCCCCACAGCTTAAAGTTCCACCCCGCAGCCTCTTTTTATATGTCGGTACTATAGGGTCTGTGAGTATATATTTTTTTCACCCTCTCCCTCGCCCCATTTGTGGGGGTGGCATCACGTAGAGGTCATGCTAATCAGTGCGACAACTGCCAAAATGGTTTCGTCTTCATTTGAGGCAATGAGGGATTACACTGCGAAAGAAAGAGTATTGCGAATTAAATTACCCGAAAAAGAATTGCAATTAGAGTCGCTTTAATACTAAGATTAAGCTAAAATAGAAATCAACTCAAGAAGTAAGCTTGACAAGACAGACAGTTATAGTTATAGTGTTTATTTTTAGGTAATTATTTCACCATATTATGATTTCCAGGAATTCTATTGAGACTTTCATAAAGAAACTTTTCCCTCCATGTAACCAAAAACCCCATTCCCACAGAATAACCAACAGCCTAGCCACAAAAACCATCGAATAATTGAGTCATCAAATGTTTGACGCACCCTTTTACTTTTGGCTGCCTAGCCGTCCCAGCACGGCTTTGACAATTAACCGAACTATAAAATGTTTAAGTTTGAACACCTGGCTGGTGGAAAAAGTTGGTCCCTTTCCATCATATAATTGGTAGGAAGCTCACATGCCAAAATATTCAAGCATAGACACCCACACATATGTATATAGAACGGTACGCATACATTTAAGCCAATTAGCATTTATGTGCGGCGTTGCACTATGGGGAATTTGCCCGATTTCATGGTATTTAGTCATTTTATCAAAGTTTAAATATTTGGGTTTTTTTTATGTAAACATATTAAAAACATATGGCTCCATATGACTCCATACCAAAAATATTAATAAACAGTGCACTTTTAAAGCTTTGCACTGTTAAAGTCAGCTGTTGCAGCCCAAAGGCACGTGTTTGAGAAGAGGCAGTTTTTGGTTAGCTACTTTGAAAGTGCGATACTTAAAAGTTAAACAAGTTATTAATTCAATTTATGATGGAAAACAATCATACTGGCTTGTATTAAATGTTTTGTGTACTAATATTTTGCTATGTGCCTGTCTTAATAATATTTAGTCAATTTTAAAACAGGTTTAAAAGGTAATTTTTGGAAAAAAAAAATTAACTTTACGTAGACTTACAAAAAAAACATATCGTTGCAACAGTGTAAGTTTAATATATGTCGTAGAGCCATTAATTATGAATAAAAGGAAATTTGTCTCAATGTGCAAAAATGCGCACAATCTGCGTAATTTCGTTTTTTGTCAGGTGTCTTCGAGTTTTCGAACGCGGAGCTTTTTGAAGTATGGCGTACGAAGACGAAGAACTCAAACCAAGAAAGATCAATTCTTGATTTTATTTCGAGCAAAATAAGTAGAAACATGGATGTTGTAAAACACAAAAACAATTTGAAAAAGAATAGCTTATTTTGCCTAAATATAAATGGTAACTGGAAGATATGCAAGAGAAAAAAAAAATTTTTTGAGAAGAAGTTTGCCAATTGCCTGCAAATTCGGAACTTAAGAGTTATATTCATTTTCTTGTCTTGTCAACTGCCAATTGATTTGGAGAAATTTGAACAATTTTGTTTTAAAACTGGGGAACAAATTGTGGATTGTTATCCATGGTTGCCAATGACGGCAACTGTTCACAAAATTATTGTCCACTCAAGGCAAATTATGGAAAATACAATACTTCCCGTTGGCTGTTTCGGAGAAGAAGCGTCGGAAGCACGCGAAAAAAGTTATAAAAAAGATAGACTGCATAACCCACGGAAGCATAGTCGTGTTAATAATTTCATGGATGTTTTCAACAGAGCCTTAGATACTTCTGATCCTGTTATTTCTTCAACAAACCCTATGAAGCGAATTCGGAAGCATAAAAGTATGGAACTTCCTTAAGAAGTTTTAAGCCTTTTATTGTGCAATTTTGAAGGCCAGGATCAAATTGAGAAAATTGGAGATGAAATTGACGATTTTTATTTTATGTCTGACGAAGACCTTGAAAATGAAAATATTTGATAAACTTATTAGTGTATTATTTGGTTTTCACTTTATCAATTTTTCTATTTGAAATAAAAAAAATTGTTTCTAGTCCTGGGAGGGCGAATAATAAAAAAAACCGTTTTGACAAATCTTATTTGTTTAAAAAGTTATTAATTAATTTATCCAAATGGGAGGGCGGAACCACGCCCATTTTACCAAAAAATATTTCCAACGATCTTCATAAGCCTAATGCAAAAAACCGTTTCGAAAAATCTTGTTTAGTTTAATAGTTAATAAATAATATTTCGTCAGGGAAGGGGCGGAGCCACGCCCATTTTTCTAAAAACATTCCTATCGGTGTCTATAACAATAATAAAAAAACCGTTTCGAAAAATTTTACTTAGTTTAAAAGTTATTAATTAATACCATGAAATCGGCCAAATTCCCCATAGTGCGTTGGCCTCCTCCGCGCCGGAGCAAAATGCGTTACATTTTCATCAAACGCACGACACTTTGTTTTAATTTGAGCAACCGCACGCACACAAACCCAGAAACGGGAACAGTAACAGAAACAGTAACACCCACGAATCAGGACACAAACACACACACATGGTCCTGGTTTCGGTCTCGTCACGGTTTACAGATTTCCGTTTGTTTGCTGCGAGTCCCCAAAGGACCTTGCACGGGATATTACATTATTTTGGGCAATTCGCTTTTACTGTGATTAATTTAAATGCACCACCCTCCCATCCTGCTTTCAAATTCCGCTGCTTCCCTTTTTTATTTCGGTCGGGACATCACGTGTTTGGGATTCATAAATATATCCTTGAAGCCCAGAGCCGCAATTTTAAATCGAATTGCCCATAGAAAAGCCGGTCTGGTAACGAGACAATTAGCTCCCGATGGCAGACAACGCCTAGAGTTTCCGTGCTAATGAGGAATACCCTTGGGATTAACTGTAAGGAAACGGAATCATTGTGCGTCTGGAATTTATATGGGAATTGTAATCATATATGAATTTTATGGGCGCAATGGTGGGTAATGGGTAAAGTCAAAGGGAGGGAACCCAAAGCACACACGTTCATAAACTATGATTATAGTTGAAAGTTCGGGCATTCCAAGTTCTACATTTTACATCTTAATTAGGCAGGCAAAGTAGACATATTTTGAGAGTGAAGTATGGATACTAATTATGCCTTCTTTGTTCATGAATAAATTGAATTTATAAAAAGCTTATAGAAATACCATTAAGATTTTGGTTTATGATTGAACCCTGAATGAAAACGATTGAATATGCTTGATATACTTCATAAGGCGGCTTTACAGGCCTCACTGATCACTTTATCCTACTATTGCTTTGTGCAATTAACAAAATGCATTTGAGACCCCACCTGAGGTGTAAATCAATTCCATTTTTGGGCGTATGGACGTGTGCACATGTCCAGATAGCATTACCTATCTGTTCCAGTAGGTGCGTGTGGGGTTTTGGATTTCTAGTGTGCGTGCAGCAAGCTATATGATCATGCATCATAATCCAGAACCCAAGGCTCACGCACTCGTACACCACACCACACCAGCCAGACACTCACACACAGATACACATCAGTTGCTTTGTAATTAATTACTTCACACATTGACGCCGGCCAGATTCGGGGCGGGTATTCCCAACAACAGCAGCTCCAATGTAAACTTTACTCTCTGACTATGTTCCTAGTGCACTGGAAGAAAAGGTGGCCTTGTTAAAATTAAAGTAATTTTAAGGACCTTGAAGAAGTATTTGTATTTATCCTCTATGCCTGTAACTATTATTGCCAATTTTTTTAGACTTTTTGAAAACCTTTTCGAACAGTGTTTGTTTGTTGTTGTTGGCGCTCCTGCTAACTAATATTGTTACCAGCTTTTTGGATAGTTAGCTGCATGTTTGGTTAGCTGCTTCTGTTGCTTCTTGCCCCTCTACTGTTCGTATCGTAAATTATGTTCCATTTATGCGGCATTGGCTTGAAATGGAAATTTGTCCCATTTGTTGCTCGACAACGGAACGACGAAGGCGAGACACTTGAGTATTCATATGGGAGCTCCCGGCCTGTTGTTTGGCATTGATTTATGTGACCGAGTAAATTTGGCTAAATATTAAATGAAACGTTAAGCCCGAATGGCTTTTCCGTGTGTGTGAACCCAGAGATGCATCTTGGCG